ACACAAAGGACCAGTGTAAAGACCACCAGTTATGTGGATACGAGAGCAGAGTTCACTCAAACCACACACCCTGCATCAACTCAGATCTGAGTATTTAGGCTTGATATCATTCCATCAAGTGCAGCTTTATGCTACTTTTGTTCTGAATCCAGCGAGATATGCAGGGCCCTGTGCAAACATCCTGGCATTAAGTGGCCCACGGGTTCTTGTTGGACTTAGTTATGCTCCAGAGCCCCATAATACACGACTTTCATTCTTTGGATCCCAATCTTCAGGTCTCAATTCTCTCTCTGCCCCATGATTTGCAAAATGTTGATGCACAGTGCTATGTAATGCTATCATAATTTGTCAGGGAGGTGAGACATTTCCATAGAGGAAATCTTATCTCTGAGTTTCCTTAACTTTAAAAGGCCATGTTGCAGATTAGCAACACACACTTGTTTTTTTGTGACCTTTTCTTGGTGATGAATCATTGAGGAGTTTGGGTCAGTTGGTTAGTCAGAAAACAAATCATTTCCTTCTATAATTTTTATCTGGAAAAGAATGCAGTACACACCATATGAAAAAGAGCATGTTTCCCGGCATTAGCCACTCACAAGGTTTTTCTTGGGTTTTTTTAAGCACATGGGAGTTTGTAATGTAATGGAAAGAACAATTTCCCCAAAACCAGTCCCCTGGTTAGACCATAAACCGCTTGTGGCAGACTGGAGGCAAATATGTATGTTTTTGCCCATGTTTGGTTTCCTTCCTGAGCTTCTGCTTTTATGTCTGTGCACCATCTGTGTGGCCGCACATGGGCCAGCGCCAGCCTGTTGATGTTGGATCATGCTGGTGCTGCTCTCAGATCTCTGGGGGTAATTTATTGCCATACATCGGAACAATATGTTTGTGGGAGGAGCTCTGCATGTTGCGCTTGCCTAGGGGAGGGATTGGCCGAAATGGCTCACGCCTGGCTTCGTGTTCATTGATCCGTTCCAAAGAGAACCGGTAAACAGACTTAGGAAAAGGTCAAACCAAAGAGAAGAAAGGTAGCAAGTGCTGCAAATTGATAGAAATAGCTCAAATGAAACATTAAAGGGCTTTTAAACCCTCCTCTGTAATGTCTTTTTTTTTTTTTAGCCTAACTGTTTGCCTCATTAATGTTGCAGACCGGCACAGCCAGGACCTGTTTTTCTGTTTTTATCGAACTCGGCCCGCTCTGCCTCTGTGTAATCTGCAGGAAATTCCATCTGCATGCGAACTCCACTGAATTTGGACCACTTAGCTTCCTTAGTTCCTGTCACTTTCCCACTCACCTCCTGAGGAACAAGACACTCTCGCCTGCACACACCAGCTCTACGCAGTTGAGAAATATTACTGAAAACCCCCTTTCAACTGTCCTACATTTCCAGTCATTACTGGTGAACAAGCATAGACGCATCGGCATACGCTCCACATCCAAAAAAAACGCCCCCACGCAGAAATCAACTGCAAGAGGTTGATCAAGTGGAAAGCACTCCTATGACATCAGGGTTTGTGGTTTTAGCCACTTGTATGTTACAAACTGATGCAATCGGGGAATTGGTCATTTAAAGGCCTTTTTAAATCTAGAATGTTGATAAGGGTTCGGTTGATGAAAGGTTTCAGATCTCCTAACACCTTTTAAGACGTCCTAGTTGGTCCAAATGGAAAATGGGTGAGCTCATCTGGTCCAAGCAGCCGTCTGTAAAAAGCAAAAAGGATTAGAGGAATGTGGCCTCTCTTGGAATTCGTTCTTTTCCCTGTAGCCAGGCATTGTCAGATAGATACACTTTTTTGTTTTGTTTTTTAAGCACTGAAACTTCCCTTTGTGCATCCGTGTTTGTTTTTTTTAGACGTTTTTAAAGAAAAGAAAAAACCACTTTCACAGTCCCACCTAACCAGGTCCTTCTGTGCTCTGTGGTAGCAGACCTTTGAAGAAGCTCTTTGTCCTGACCTTACCCTAAATGAGAAGCATGTGTGCAATGACTCAAAATCACATTTCTCCCCAAATCTAATCAGTTAGCAGTTTCGTATTCTCCGAGTTGCCCTACCAGTGCTGTTTTCGTTTCAGATGTGGCAGATCTGTTCAGGCTTTCGGGCTCTGACCTCAGTCGAGTGTGTCGGCGGACCACCGCAGGTTTATTAGGCAGCAGCTGAAGTTCCATTGTGTCACCTTTTAATGGGTCCCTGCTCTGGAGCGGCTCGCCTTTCATAAAACTCCTGTCTTATTAGCCGGGAACAGTGGCCCCTCTCTGCGCCGCTATGGCAGACCAGAGAGAAGGAAGGGGCAGAATGCTGCATTGGGGATTTGGCTGGAGCCCCCCCGCCACCCCCTCAGCCCTTGCCGGGTTTCACTCGGTGTGTCCCACTGGGCAGGTCTGTCTCCAGCCTGCGTGTTTGGGTTCATCTGCAGTGGGGGATCCGGTTTCAAGGCCACCGGGGCCGTCTGGCCGCTCCTGCTCAACTCCCAAGTCTGCATCCACATGTCATGAAATGCCTGCGGTCGAACCCAGCACCCGCCACAGTGGGCCCGCCGGCGTGGAGCCAGCCCGCCCCCTGCTGGACAGCGCCGGGACTCCACCTGGGTTTGACCTTGCACTCTTATCGAATGAATAATTGACTTCTCCCCCCCCTGTCTTTTTCCCAGCTCTGCGATGCAACTGTTCGAACTGCGAGAAGGCGGGCTACGAGTGCGAGACGGACGGCGCCTGCCTGACGTCGACCTACAGCGTGAACGGGAAGGAGGAGCACCTGCGCCTCTGCATCAACCAGGAGAGCCTGGTCCCCCCCGGCAAGCCCGTCTACTGCATGAGCGCGGAGGGCTTCTTCAACAGCCACTGCTGCTACGTGGACTACTGCAACAGCATCAACCTGAAAGTACCAGGTGAGGCGCCGCCGCCCCAGAGCCACCGCGGCAGCCGGGCGTTCAGGGGGCGTGAGCTAAACGTTCTCCGTTCTGCCCCCGCAGTCCCCACACACGACCCGACGAACAGCTGGGGGCTGGTGGAGCTGGTGGCGGTCATCGCCGGGCCGGTTTTCCTGCTCTGCGTGTTCCTGATGATCGGGGTGTTCGTCTTCCAGTATCACCAGAGAGCCTACAGCCACCGGCAGAGGCTGGAGGTGGAGGACCCCTCCTGCGACCACCTCTATTTGGCAAAGGACAAAACTTTGCAAGACCTCATTTATGACATGTCCACCTCAGGATCGGGCTCAGGTCAGTGCGGCGTGGTGACCATCCGGACAAGCATACAGATCCTCCCCTCTGTTACGTGAGCTGTTGCTCTCTGTGCAGACAGCCCAAATGTGGCCCTTACTTATGTGTCCGGTGTCTGTTGGGGACAGGCTTGCCCCTGTTTGTGCAGCGGACGGTGGCCAGAACCATCGTGCTGCAGGAGATCATAGGAAAGGGGCGCTTCGGCGAGGTGTGGCGGGGCAAGTGGCGAGGAGGGGACGTGGCCGTGAAGATCTTCTCCTCCAGAGAGGAGCGCTCCTGGTTCAGAGAGGCCGAAATCTACCAGACAATCATGCTCCGCCACGAGAACATTTTGGGATTCATCGCAGCTGACAATAAAGGTGAGGGGGGACCGCGGGCTGACCTTTAGCCGTCCGTCGGTCCGGACCCGGTGTCTAGAAACGGGGGTTCAGGCATTTAACAAAGCTGCATTTTTTCCTCCTCGTGCCCTCCAGACAACGGCACGTGGACGCAGCTGTGGCTGGTGTCGGACTATCACGAGCACGGCTCTCTTTTCGACTACCTGAACCGCTACTCCGTCACCATCGAGGGCATGATCAAACTGGCCCTGTCGGCCGCCAGCGGCCTGGCCCACCTGCACATGGAGATCCTGGGCACTCAGGGTGAGCCCCGCCTCTGCCGGAACAGAGCCGCCGTCACAGCAGCAACCTGACCCAACGAGCTCTTATCTTTCTCCCCCCCTCCGCAGGTAAGCCAGGCATCGCCCATCGCGACCTCAAGTCTAAAAATATCCTCGTGAAGAAGAACGGCACGTGCGCCATCGCCGACCTGGGGCTGGCCGTCCGCCACGAGTCCATCACAGACACAATCGATATAGCACCCAACCAGCGCGTGGGCACCAAGAGGTAAATGTTTCCATCCCCTGTGCTCTGTGCGCTTGGCAGGCTTTCAGGGTCTTGCTTTACAAGAAGGGAGAGGACAAAAACAGGAGTAAATGCACTCACCGATATCTCAGAGGGCATGATTACCGTGGGTCCACCGGCACAATGAAGCTTGTTCTCTGAAATAAAAACAACTCCCTGGCATTACCAGAACAATTAAATCCTCCACGTCTTTTGAAAACTGGATTTAGTCTGTTTTAGCTGATCTCGTAGCCCCCACACATTACCGCCAAGTTCTCCTAGATTTTCACCAACGCTTCAAAAAAAGCTTCCGACCGCTCAGGATCAATTTCTCGTCTCATATTACCGATTTGTCCCCCTCCCTCCTGTCCATCAAGGTACATGGCTCCAGAAGTTCTAGATGAAACAATCAACATGAAACACTTTGACTCCTTCAAGTGTGCCGACATCTACGCCCTGGGCCTGGTGTACTGGGAGATCGCCCGCCGCTGCAACACCGGAGGTGAGGAGCCCCTAAACCAGCCGGGGCCCCCAAACCAGCCGGGGCCCCTAAACCAGCCGGGGCCCCTAAACCAGCCGCTTTTGTCTCCTGAAATCAGAGACTGAGAGACTCTGTTTGTTTCTTCTCCCCCCTAAATGTTGGGCAGGCATACACGAAGAGTACCAGCTGCCCTACTACGACCTGGTGCCCTCCGACCCCTCCATAGAGGAGATGAGGAAGGTGGTGTGCGATCAGAAACTGAGGCCCAACGTGCCCAACTGGTGGCAGAGCTACGAGGTATTTCACACTATGCGCACCCAGAGATGCTTCTCTAAAAATACGTCCAAAGGTTGCAGAACAGAGAGGGCTGGGCTCAATTACACGGGCAGAACAAGACGTCCTGTCCCCAGTTACCAATCTGAGCAGATTTATTTCTAAATCGGTGCTGAGGCGGCGCCTCCACAAAGAGTCGTGTGCTTCATCTCCAGTTTTATCATTTGCTTTTCCTGGATGGGTCAAATCCCCGTGAAGCGCTTCCTCCATTGTTTTCTTTCTTCCTTTTAAGTTACTCAATCAGCCCGCGGTCGATGAAGACGTGTTAATTCCTCAGCCTTAGTCTGCCTTAACATTTCCCCCAAAAGCCTTAAAGAAATAGTCTAGCGTGTTCAGAGGAACAGAGTGTGGAGTGTGTGTGTGTGTGTGTGGGCTGACCGGGCCTGCCTCTGCTCCACAGTCTCTGCGCGTGATGGGGAAGATCATGCGGGAATGCTGGTACGCCAACGGTGCCGCGCGGCTCACGGCGCTGCGCATCAAGAAGACGCTGTCTCAGCTGAGCGTGGAGGAGGACGTCAAGATGTGAGGGGGCGCCCCCCCCCCCGCCCCCCCGCACTCCCATAGGAAACAAACACTAAAGACAGACTGCAAATGAGAAATCCTGCCAGTTTTAAAGCCACACTCCAAGTTGTGACAAGGCCTACCTCACCTTTTTAGCCAAAACTACTGAAAGTCCTCCCCCCCCTCCCCCCCTGACTTCTCTCCCCCCCCCCCCCCCCTTTGCCCCCCCTGTCCCCCCCCCCCCCCCGTCCCCTTCGACCCCCTTCTCCACGGGCCGAAACGCACCACAGCACCACCACTGTTGATATCATCACGCTCTACCTTCCTTTGTGTCCCAGGGCAGGAAAAGCTCCCACTACTGTACAGCGACAGGATTCTTTTTGGTTTTCCTTTCGTTTTTGGTTCCCTGACAGACCGAACTCCCCCCGGAAGAGTCCAGCGTGTCGCGGGCTTTCAGTTTCAGAGAAAGGCGTCGTATTTCGTACGCCACGCAACATCTGACCGTTGCTGTATGAGTGTGAGGGGGAGAGGAGGCTGAAGCACTGTTTGTGTGTGTGTGTGTGTGTGTGTGTGTGTGTGTGTGTAAGGTGTCTGGACTACTAGCATGTCTCTAAGATGTCATGATTACTCCTGGTATAGGCTGTAGTTCACTAGACGAAACAGGCAAAACAACAAAAAAAAACAACTGATGTTTGGTCGTAAAGCATGTAGAGCCAGATTTTTTTTTTTTTTTTCTTTTTGTTTGTTTGTTTGTTTGTTTAAATTTCCCACTTGAATGACCTCCAAACAGAAACGAGTTGCACTCACCCGTAGCTTCCTCATGTGTGACCCCCGCAGGCATCGCAGAGCGGATGTGGTCCCGTCCCGGCGTTCGTTTGAAAATGGCAGGGATAATGTTTGGGATGGTTTTTTAATCTTATTTATTTGTTCATAGTTTCTATTTCCTCTTGATGATGAACACTGTGAGATGAGATGCGCTAAACCGGATGCTTGATATGAAAACGCTCGCCGTCGTTCAGGCCGTCTTCACCCTCCCTCAGTCAGGAGACTAAAGGGTTTTGCATTCACCGAGGTAAAATACTGAGTTGGAACCTGAATGTAGTCCCAACCCTGCTGTGGCGGGCCATGACTTTGTGCATACTGAGCAAACAAGTTGTTTTTTTCCTTAATATATATTTTTGTTGTGTGTTTTAAAGACATGATGAGGTTTCTTCTTTGACTTTAGACACTACTGATTATGGGTACATATGACTGTATATAAAACATGCACACACACATACCCCCCCCCCCCCCCCCCCCCCCCCATTCTTCTATCCCACAAACTCAAGTGTGACATTATTTGTTTTAATTTTTCTCTTTTTTTGTTGTTTTTTCTTTCATCGGTACTGTCAGCTCTGTTGGTAATCTGTCAGCGTGGTCTCCAGCTGTGCTAACAGATGTGCAGTTACCTGCTGGAATTTCATTTTCATTTCCTCCTATCATGGAAATTTGGTACTACTGATCCCAAATCTTTTCTTTTTTAAATGTATAGATAATGGGTAATTGTGGAGCTCTTTTCAGAGCTCATCATTGCAGGTCTGTTTCTCCAAACGTCCACTGGGGAGGGGACGTCTGCTCCTCGCCCACATCGGACCACGCTACGCTGCTGACCGTCTCCCCCCGAGGGGCCCCGCGGGGGGGGGTGGGGGGGGGTGAAGATTTTCCCCCCTCTCCCCCCCCCCCCCCCCCCGCTGCAGAGCCCAACCGCATGTTTCCCTCCCGGGCTCTGCAGCCCCCAGACCAGACTATGAAAGTATTACACTGATATCTGTCACCACTCGGGCTGTGCACTGTTATGCCCGCGGGGGCGTTCGTTAACCCACGTCCAGGCATCCCCTGACCCCCCCCCCCCCCCCCCCCCCCCCCCC